GGGGTTGGACTGGATGGCCCATGAGGTCTCTTCCAACTCTTTGATTCTATGATTCTATGATTCTAAGGGGCCTGCATCAGGTTCTGAACCCTGCGCCCGTTCCTTGGGAAGTCTGACTTAGCCACGGTGGTCCACGCTCTGGTTACATCCCGTATAGACTACTGCAACGCTCTCTACGTGGGGTTGCCTTTGAAGACTGTTCGGAAGCTCCAAATGGTCCAACGGGCGGTAGCCAGGTTACTAACAGGAGTGGTGTTCAGGGAGCATACAACCCCCTAGTTGTGCCAGCTCCACTGGCTGCCAGTTTGCTACCAGGCACAATTCAAAGTGCTGGCTTTAGCCTATGAAGCCCTAAACGGTTCTGGCCCTGCTTACCTGTCCGAATGTATCTCTCCTTATGAACCCTCTAGGAATGTAAGATCTTCTGGGGAGGCCCTGCTCTCGGTCCTGCCATCTTCACAGGCTCGATTAGCGGGGATGAGGAATAGGGCCTTCTCAGTGGTGGCTCCTCGGTTGTGGAATGCCCTCCCCAGGGACATTAGATCAGCCCCCACCCTCTTAATGTTTCACAAAAAAGTTAAAACCTGGCTGTATGAGCAGGCCTTTCCAAACGCAGTGTAGCTATGAAACTCTGATCTCAGAACGGTTGGACAATGTGACTGGATAATGACTGGTAATAAAATGTGGAGGATTGATGGTTTTTATAGTGTTAGTGATGTTAATTGTAATGAATTTTTACCTGTGTTAAATGCTTTTAATGTTTAAATTATTTTTGTACTGTTGTGGGCATCAAATTGTGCCGTTTTGTAAACCGCCATGAGTTGCCCTCGGGCTGAGAATGGCGGTATAGAGGCATAGTAAATAAAATAAATAAATAAATCTAAGCCCAATATTCACAACACAAACTGGTAACAGTTGCTCTCCAGGTTTCAAGCAGTGCTCTTCCTAGTCATGCCTTAGATCCTAGTATCCTCAGATAAGCATTTCTCACGCAAATTTTGCTTATATTCAGCCTTTGTTTGATTCCAGGTGTTGTTGTGTATGTTCAGCAAAGGTGAGGAGCGATTACTTCCACCCCGCCCACCCCCACACCATCCCCTCCAGCTCTTACTCTGAGATGTAGATACTCTTCTTGATGTAATAGGTGTGCTTGGCGGGGTCCTTCAGGCCGTCGTACACCAAGCCGAGGTTGAGGTAGAGCCGGGCCCGCATCTCGCTCACCTCCCGCTGGGAGACTTCCCCTGCAAAAAGCCTGCTATTAGCCATAGGGTTGGCATGCAATGTATAGATGTTAATTCAACACTGTAGAGGAGGCCTGGGCAAACTTTGGCCCTCTGGGTGTTTTGGACTTTAACTCCCACAATCCCTGCAACCCTCAGGCCCTTTTCTGGCCCTCTGGGTGTTTTGGGCTTCAACTCCCACAATTCCTGACAGCCTCAGGCCCCTTTCTGGCCCTCTGGGTGTTTTAGACTTCAACTCCCACAATTCCTGACAGCCTCAGGCCCCTTTCTGGCCCTCTGGGTGTTTTGGACTTCAACTCCCACAATTCCTGACAGCCTCAGGCCCTTTTCTGGCCCTCTGGGTGTTTTGGACTTCAACTCCCACAATTCCTAACAGCCTCAGGCCTTTTCCTTTTCCACTTAAGAGGCTGAGAGGGAAAAGGAAAGGGCCTGAGGCTGTTAGGAATTGTGGGAGTTGAAGTCCAAAACACCCAGAGGGCCCAAGTTGGCCCATGCTTGCCTTACACAGACATGAGAGTCACATTAGCGACTCCTCTGACAAAGTTCGCTAACTTTCTTTTGTCTATCTACTCTTTTGCTTGAGATGTATTACCTGCATCAGCAAAAGCAAGTTTTTACTTACTTGGATATTGGTTTCCTACCCCTAGCTTGTATATAGCACTCTGCTCTGCCAGATACCAAATATTCATACACTCCCCATGGCCACACAAAGCGCATCACGCCCACAGCACTGTGCAAGGCGCCTCCCCATCCCATGGAGCCCTGTGGTACCTTCCAACTTCTCCTCCACGATGACCAGGCTCTTCATGAAGGCCTTTTCCGCTTCTTCCAGGGCGCTGCTTGACTGCTGGCCCTCGGCCATGAACATGTAGGTCCTGCCAATGGTGGCCCAGGCTCTCTGCTGCTCAATGTCGCTGGAGACGGAGCGGGCCAAATCCAGGTGCCGACGCTGGTGCTACAGACAGACAGACAGAGAAGCACATCAAAGGGAAGGTCTGCCTCAGGCATGGTGCAACTTCGACCCTCCTACAGGTGTTTTGGATTATATTGTTATTATTATTATTTTACTGACCCAAAAGCACAGTATGTCACAGCAAACGAGATCTCTATGCTGGATTTCGTATCACAAAATTACAAGTTGAACCCTTCCCAAGCATCTAGGACTGTGTGATGTATTTCGAATGATGTGCGCAGATCCAAGCCAGGTGGCCTTTTGCAGTTGACAGATAATGATTTTGTCAATGTTCATTGTTTCCAAATGCCGGCTGAGATCTTTTGGCACGGCACCCAGTGTGCCAATGACCACTGATGTCCCAGAAACCATGAAAATGAACAAAATCTGGCTACCAGTATGAAAAAACTCAAAAATTACAACAGCAAAACAATCTGGGATATCTAATCACATCTCAACAAAAGATTGCCACAGGCATTAACAAGTCACACCAAACAACAGCCAGGCCATCAAATGCTAATCAAGGTGGTCAGTTGAAACATTCACACCTAGCTCCAGCAGACAAGAGTCCTTTGTCCCACCCTGGTCATTCCACAGATATATAAACCCATTTTCCTAGTTCCAACAGATCTCACGACCTCTGAGGATGCTTGCCATAGATGCAGGCGAAACGTCAGGAGAGAATGCCTCTAGAACATGGCCATATAGCCCAAAAAAACCTACAACAACCCATTACTGAGTGGTCTTCTGCCGCAAGCAGACGCTACCATGCAACTCTGCTATGTATATAGTCTGTAAATAAAGCTAATTGGTTTATTGCTTTATGGCTGTGTGTCGGAGCAGTTTTATCGCCTCGTCAACCAACAATCAACATAAATAAGTAAAAACCTTTCAAGCAGCATATAGCACCATACTTGGAAGACTTGCATCATCTTATATAACTCTCTACAGAACCCAATTAACAACTTCATAGACCTCATTGCTCCCTACTCGACCTTACATTTAAATTTTTGTGTTTTAATTCCTTGGCAAATTTTAATGTCCAGTAAGAACCTAGTATCCACTGAAGAGACATTCCTAGCCAGACCACAGTTACATCAAACTATAAATATAAACAAACTCTAAACTTACAACAGCAAAACAACAGAGAGGAAACGATCTGGGACATGTAATCATCACCTCTCAACAAAAGATTGCCCCAGGCACTAACAAGTCACACCAAACAACAGCCAGGCCATCAAATGCTAATCAAGGTGGTCAGTTGAAACATTCACACTTAGCTCCAACAGACAAGAGTTCTTTGTCCCACCTTGGTCATTCCACAGATATGTAAACCCTTTTTCCTAGTTCCAACAGACCTCACTACCTCTGAGGATGCTTGCCATAGATGTAGGCGAAACTTCAGGAGGGAATGCCTCTAGAACATGGCCACATAGCCCGAAAATCTTACAACAACCCATAAATAGAATCGGTTGTTATCAGCTTCCTTTTGTCAAGCTGCCTTAGCAAACCTGATGGTTGAACGTTCCAAGCCTCTTACCTTCAGGGCGGCTTCATAGCTTTCCAGCTCTGCCAAGCACTCTCCGATCTTCCGGTGGGCAACGGCGCAACCAATGATGTCCCCCAGGCCTTCCAGCAGGCGCAGCTCCAAGCGGTGCTCCTCCAGCGCTTCTTGGAATTGCCCTGTCAGGGACAAAATGGTCAGCCATGGGCCCAGTGACTGGGCAAAGAGAGACTGCCAGGGTTGCGTTAGGCATATACAACCCCAGTCACAGCAGGGAGGGGAAACCACCCTATGTATCCCTTAGACAACAGGGTCAGATCCTTCATCCTTCATCCACCCAACTCTCTGATTGAGAGTTATCTCTGTTTAGTCTATTTCCTTTAAATGCTGTTATATAACACAATATAACAAAAATCTTCCTTCTCTACCTATTCTTGCACTGCATCTCCCAGCAGTCCTCCTGATCAGTCAATCTATCTATCTATTTATTATTATTTATTTATTTACTATGCTTGTATACCGCCCCTCTCAGCCTGGAGGCAACTCGAGGCAGTTTACATTTGGCAATCAATGCCCCACAAGAAAAATAGTCAAAACAATTACATATAATATAAACTGTATAAAAACAATAACAATAAACAAAACAATAAAATACAGTTTCAGCATCTCATCATTAAAATCATTTTTCTTCGCATTGTCCTGTCGTTCCATGAGTCTCAATTAATCAGTTATACTGTGTCTGCAAATGCCTGCTCAAACAGCCAGGTCTTACTCTCTTTCAAAATGTCAGGAGGGAGGGGGCCGATCTAATGTCCCTAGGGAGGACATTCCATAGCCGGGGGGCCACCGCTGAGAAGGCCCTGTCTCTCATTCCCGCCAATTGGATCTGCAAAGATGGCGGGACCGAGAGCAAGGTCTCTCCAGACGATCTTAAACACCTAGATGGTTCATAGGAAGAGTTAGACATGTGCCTTTCACCTTAAGAACAGACAAGCATCCCGAGCTCTGAGGATGACCTGGGAAGGAAGGAATCCCACTGGAGCATTGCAGCGCACCCAAGTACCTGGGAGTCACTTTGGACCATGCTCTGACCTACAAGAAGCACTGCCTGAACATCAAGCAAAAAGTGGGCACTAGAAACAATATCATACGAAAGCTAATTGGCACAACCTGGGGATCATAACCAGACACAATGAAGACATCTGCCCTTGCGCTATGCTACTCTGCTGCTGAGTATGAATGTCCAGTGTGGAACACATCTCACCACGCTAACACAGTGGATGTGGCTCTTAATGAGACATGCCACATTATCACAGGGTGTCTGCGCCCTCCACCACTGGAGAAATTACACTGCTTAGCCGGTATTGCACCACCTGACATCCGTCGGGAAGTAGCAGCCAATAGTGAAAGGACCAAGGCAGTGACATCTCCAGCTCATCCCTTGTTGGGTATCAGCCAGCACGTCAACAACTTAAATCAAGAAATAGTTTTCTAAGATCTACAGACACTCGCTGGAACACCTCAGCAAGCGAGAGTCCAAAAGTGGCAGGCTCAAACCCAGCACCTCAATCCGTGGGTGATACCAGATGAGAGACTCCCCCCTGGGCACCCAGAAGACTGGGCGACTTGGAAGGCGCTGAACAGACTGCGCTCTGGCACCACGAGATGCAGAGCCAATCTCAAGAAATGGGGCCACAGAGTGGAATCCACGACATGCGAGTGAGGAAAGGTGCAAACCACTGACCACCTGCTGCAATGCACCCTGAGCCCTGCCACGTGCACAATGGAGGATCTCACTTGGAGTGCCTTGCGGCAACACCAGAGGCACTTCAAGTGGCCAGATACTGGTCAAAGGACATTTAATCAACTACCAAGTTTGCAAAATTTGTGGGTTTTTAAAATCTGTTTGTTTGTTTTCTTCTGTTAGAAATGTAATACAATGTTCTGGTTGCCGATGACACGATAAATAAATAAATAGGAAGAGATGCGTTCAGACAGGTAAACTGGGCCAGAACCGTTTAGGGCTTTAAAGGCTAAAGCCAGCACGTTGAATTGTGACCGGTAGCAAACTGGCAGCCAGTTAGCTGGCGCAACAGAGGAGTTGCGCGCTCCCTGAGTGCCGCTCCTGTTAACAACCTGGCTGCTGTCCATTGGACCAACTGAAGTCTTCAAAGGCAGCCCCACGTAGAGAGCGTTGCAGTAGTCTATACGGGATGTAACCAGAGCGTGGACTACCGTGGCCAAGTCAGACTTCCCAAGGTACGGGCGCAGCTGGCGCACAAGCTTTAGCTGTGCAAATGTTCCCCTGGTCACCGCCGAAACCTGGGGTTCCAGGCTCAGCGATGAGTCCAGGGTCACTCCCAAGCTGCAAACCTGCGTCTTCAGGGGGAGTATCTACCTACCTATCTACCTCTATCTAATCTACCTATCTTATCTATCTGGAGGATTGCTGGGAGTTGTAGTCCAGGAATAGGAAATGGGAAATATGCAGGGATGGGGATGCTCTCAAAAAAATCCAAGGAGAAGAAAGCTTGCAGTTTGGAAGCAGTGCATTTGGAGCATCCTCCTCTCCTAAAGGGCCTGGTCTAGGGGATGCTGGGAGCTGTAGTCCGGAAGAGAGTGCGGATATGCTACTGTGTGGTTTTTCTTGCCAGAGGGAGTCGTTTTGCGTATGTGCTGTAGCATCTTTTTGCTTTTTTGGCTTTTAAAGTCCCTTCCGTTGTGTTTTTCAGTGATTTTAAGACTGATGGTCACGTGTTGGCCTGATAAGTGTATAGTGTCCAAATTTCATGTCAATTCACCCAGTGGTTTTTGAGTACGCTTGTTTTCTGCTTCCCTGGAGACTAGGACGCGGAACAATGGCTTCAAACTACAAGAGAGGAGAT